ATTAACTCTGGACACGAATGACTCATCGTGTGTAATAAATAACCGGAAAACCGTGTGTATTCTAAGAGTTAAATATCGTTACTTGAAAAAGTCTTTACTTTTTTGGATAGGAAATTTAAAAAATACGCATGACAATCATTAATTTGATATATCAATTATTTTGATTATCTATTACATATTAATTATTTTGAGCTCTGTTGTAATTTAAATATATTTGTTTTTTACAGATCAATAGTGTTACTCCGCTGATGCGCATCGTATCGGTAAGTAATTATCTTTTGATTTAATTTGGATCTATGCGAAAAAATCGTATCATATATAAAACGTGCGTAATTAAACGTAAAAATATGAAATATTACAAAATATTACGGATCTCTTAAAATGAATGAGCTATTAATTTTAACGTTTTATCCTGAAATCCTACATTTGGTTTCCTATATATTTCTACGATTAAATATTATGTAAGTGCTTAGTGTATGAATGTAAAGTTCGTATTTGGATTTAGAATTCTAGAGTAATTTTCATTAAAGTATTATTCACACAAAACTTTATAACATACGAACTTGCTTTAAAAACTTGCACATCTATATTTTATATTTCCTTGGAGATTAGGTTCCGATTTGATAGCACGATTAGAGAGCAATGAGCTCCACGTTTCATTATCATACAATACTAATTAACCCCCGACTGCGTCATAAATTGTTGACTTTACCATGTAATTTCTATTACCGGGTTCATTAGATCGAGGTGAGCGGTTTTACGTTAGTGTAGGAAAAGTGTAGGAAAGTCAGTGTAGGATGCCAACAGTATAATTATTTGATGGTTATGAACGTTGTAGGCTAGTATCCTGCAAGATTGTGATATATTACTCTATGGATTGAGACATTATTGCGGCTATTCACATCTCGTTTAGCGCTAAACGTGGGAGTTGTGCGATTCTGACTTTTACGAAGATCATACTCAATATTATTAACGTGAAAATTGTGCAACTGCATTTAGCGTTATGTAAGAAATTTAAATACAGCTTCTAATTCAGAAAATGATAGGAAAAAATATGGGATACATATAAAAAAATTATGAAAAAATAAATGACGTATTATTGCATATAAAATAAATAATAAGATAAAATATTAATATTTATATATTGTTTGAAGCAATATATATTATACCTTATACATAGAATTTAATATGTAAAATATTAAAATTTCCAAAATTTTATTCATCATTTTATTCATCATTTTATTCATCAATTTATATAATTCCAAAAATTTTTAATGAAACTCAATCAATGTAGTGTTATTTAAGCGTATTGTCTGAGCAAGAAACTCGATCATTAGAACAATTTCAAGTATTTATATATCATGTGTAAAAAATTTTGGAATCGAATTTAAACAATGTTTTTCAAAAATATATATTCTTTTTTATACTTCTTAAACACTTCAATGTAAATATAGTAAATTTCTGTTGGGACACAATTCGTATTTGTATTTCTCCTTATGAAAAGGCGTAGGCAAATCTGTAGGGCTTTTATCGCGACGATCGTTTCTGTAAATGTTCGAAACTCGAGACTGTGTCTAGTTGATGCGTCGCGAGACAACAATCTCGTCGAATCCACACCCAACTCGCGAAGGCGCGTAACATTGTCGCTGAGACATACGGACAACCGCGGAAATTATGATGTACCATAACTGACGATATCTTACATCACGCCTTGCCCATTTTCACGCCGTGTCGCGTCGCGTCGTCGTAAAATAGGAGCGCGTGTCTTTCCTTTTACGAAGTCGTTGTCGAAGTCGGGCCATTAGCTTTTTCCATGGGCTCGTTAAGCTGGATTCTCACCGTTTCGTGGGTGATACTTCGAGAAGAGGAGACTCTGGCGCTCGGCATTATCGATCGCCATCAATTACAAACCGTCCGGGATCGCCGATCGTTAAGCCGGTGTCGATTAGATCATTTAACCTCGCCACTTTCTCGCGCGACGATCTCGATCGACGCGTTCGCACGTTCGTAAATTGATAGTAAAAATAGTATAAAAACGTTACTGACGCCAAATTAGATGGCACCTTTTTTTCCGTAACATTACCGTAAAAACTCGGTCAGATATAAAATAAATATCGTATTAAAAATAAAAATAAACTAATCTCACTGAAATTAATCTGGGAACAGTCATCTGCGATATTTTTATATCTCAGTGGTGGAAAAATGTGAATTGTTGTAAATTGTTTTTTGTATATATTTTTTGTATACAACGTATTTGTTTTTTCTTTTTTCATAATTATTCTTTACAAACCTTTAAATATACAATTCCATAAAAAATCTACAATAAAAAAGCGTACATTCTATTAATTAAAATCTTTATTTTTTACAAACGTTAATTAACGTGCTCACTCCATTTAACATTCATTTGGTTTCTACTTCCTTTTTTCAGAAAATTGTGATTAAATTCATTTTTATTATATTCTCAAATACTAATAAATCGGAAAATAATCATTATATAATAATAATATATGTATATAATAGTGATTATTAATAACAGTGATTTCAATTGGGGTATAAAAACACCTCGAATAATAATTTACGTAAAAAAAATCGAGTGACTATTCCTGAGTTAAAGAATATAAGTTCTATCACATTTACATCTATTATCTATTTGCATTTATGTTTTAAATTCAGAGTTGCTTGGCTCTTAACATTCTTATAAAAAAATCGTATTTTAAAATCTCAAAAAATGAGAAATTCTCGAGGGATTATTTCGTAGGGAATTTTCGCAGGTGTTAATATAACCCGCCGGTCAGCTGCCAATTTCCCTCTCCTCTTTTTTCACGCGGGCATCCATGGGATTCTGCGCGCGTGGGGCGCGTGCGAACGGAGTCAGCAGCGACGTGAATGTGTCGCGGCTATACCTGCGTGCGTGCGTGCGTATCTGCGTGTCTTGCGTGTGCACCTTCACTGCTACACCCGGCAAGACTTCTCTCCCCTCCGTCTCTCATCTCGCAGCGTGTACGGTACACACGTGCACGCGGACGCGTGTACCGCTCACGCACGCACGGACTCACGCACTCACACGGGCTCACGACCGTCCTCCTCGTCTCTCTCTCCCTCTCGATCCACCGCGGGTTCTCTAAGGCGACTTACGCCTACACGTTGTAGTTGCAGCATCCACACTTAGCCCTCCTCAGTCCAGCGCGTGCCTCCACGCGACCAACCACCACCTCGATCACTGCTCTCTCATACTCTCGCGCGGGTTCGCGCTCGCGGTGGCGAGCCTCAACACACGTCCGCCGCGAATTTCGCGCTGACAGTGCTTTCGGCCAGCGCTTGCTTGATCGCGCGCGGCTGATCAAGTGGTCCGCCAGTGTCCCGTGCAACAGTGCCTCGCGACTGGAGAAAATCGTATGAAGTGCGTTGGATGTGATTGTCATGACGAATGTCGCGTCGACGCTTTCTAACGGTATAATTTCATGAGTGCTCGGCGAGACTATAAGAAAGCTTCGACGCGTTTTGCAGCATTGTGAAATTTATATGATAAATGTAGAATGATCTTTTGAATTAGTCTAATAGAGCTATAAAGACTCATTGAAAATTGAACGACAGTTGAACGTTCTTCAATTTTGTTCTTTGGAGTATTTGTCCCTGTAAAACGAAGTAAAAATAAATTTTGATATTTCAGTGACAGCATATCAATCTTGCATTGTAAGATCTTACAAAGATATTCAAATTCTTAATAATGCAGGGTAATTTAATAGAAGTTCAACTGTCTTTGAAATTTTAAGTATATCTAGGAATCATGACGTCGCATTTGACTATCTATTTAATTAATTTTTTATAAAGAAACGAAATAGGTGATCGAAGTGGCGATCGTGAATATCGTCGTAAATAAGGTGAATTGTTCGTGCGAGTTGTATTATCGATGTTTGGAATAACTCGGTCAAATTTTGGTGAATATTTTGTGAAGAGTGTTTATCATAAAAAACAATTCCTCAATGAATTCCAGTGAAAAATATCGCTTACGAGCAACAGTTGGTTAAGCTATAAGCTATCTAAAATATAGGCATACGGTAGACGTGAGCGACCAATCGAATTTGTAATTTTATCGAGACGAGCAGAAGCCGAGTAGAGAATTTACGTTCGATCGCCGATCATTCGGAGGTTCGATCGGAAACCAGTTGACGATTAAAGCGCGGGTAGAGCCGCGCGTTTCGTCGACGATCATCGGCAACCGCGTTCGGCATCCAGTCTCATCGGGACGACGATAAAACGGAGAACGACAACGGGGGAGGCGAATCAGCAGTTTATCGATCCGTCGATCGATCGGGAAACGTCGCGCCCGCCGTTCGACGAGAGAACGTTGGCACGCGGATTGGAAATCGGCGAGCGTGGGTCGACACGCGGCGCCAACCTGTTGCTCGAGATCGGACTCGTTTCCATTTAGAGGACTACGGGAGCCCAGGCCGAACTGGCTGCCGTCGCTCCGACACCGTGGGACCCGTCCTCGATCCGGAGCCGAGAATTAATCAACCGGACCAGCGGAGTTTCGAGTACCCTACTTCTGATTAACGCCCGAGCGTGTCTTTATCGAAGATGCAGTGGGATCGGAAGGACTCCATAGTAGTCTTCTGTTTCGGAGCCAGCTGATACCGGTTGTTTCTGATTAACGTTGCGTTCCTCTGAAGGAGGCTGTTGACGATAGGAGGTCTTCAAGACACGTCTTCGACTCAAAACCAGGGATTAATCAAACGAACTTGTGATTAAATGGCCCCAACGGCGGACAATTATCAAGCGAATTGTAGAACCACGAGTCTTTAAGATAGACCTTCCATTCGAAGCTTGGAATTAATGAGAATAAACTCATAAGTTGCGAATGCAGTTCTTATTAATGTCAGAATGTGAATTATAAGTAGTGCAAACATGTATCGTGTTGAAATAATCTAACGTAGTATTCATAAAAGTGCGTACCGCTTAAAGTTTAAAAGTTATCATATTGAAAGTGTACCGAGAAAGGTTGAAATCCGGAACGCAGATTGCCTGATTCGTGTCTCCGAAGCTCAAAATTGATGCACAACTCCGAGACAAAATGAACATTATCAGATTCAAAATGATCAGTCATTCAGTGATCATCGATTTTGTGGTCCTTTGGGCCAGTCTGTCGTCGGCCAGCTTTTTGACCAGCGAATTACTGGAATGTCGAGCAAATTTGACGGCGGCGATAAAAAACGATACGACGTTCCTAGAGAAGGTGCGCCAGTCGGACTACATCTTTACGGGAAAGGTAAAGGAGCTACAGCATGGACAGCTGCTGCACGTGCGCGTCAAGAGGGCGATCAAGGGTGCGCTGAACATCACTGTCGACCTCGTGGTGAACGATACCTGCGGCCGTTACATCAGGCGCAGTTACACCGGCATCTTCATGGCGCGTCGCGGTGCCAACGACGTTGGCAGGATCGTGATGCACTTCGGCCCGGTACCGCTTACGCTCGCCAACCTCGACAGGCTGAACGCCGCCGTCAGAGGTAAGCTCGCCGTCAGGCATACCGTTTCGTTCTTCGCTTTCACGTTCGCGCTTTAACGAGACACTTTAACGTCGCGCTAAAATGCTTCCCGTTAATTGGATAAGTCGGAATACGGACTACCCGACGTAGCACCGCCGGGTGCGAGATACAAGCGCAACGGCTGCTTGTCCGTTTCGCGTTTAATGGATCTCGTCATCAGGCGAGAGATTTCGTAAAGGAATGCGCACAGCTCGCTTGGATCATACAGTTCGCGCTACTGTTTAATATTTTTTGTACAATAAATGTTGCTCATATATAATTGCAATGATTCTTGCATCGGTTGATTTCGGAACTGAACTGTACCTAAATCTTCGACAAAATTTGGGAATTCGAATTTTCATGCTTTATGAATGCAAATAGGTAATAGAATTTTTCTCTAAAAGAGATTTAATTTTTCAGGATTTTAATGAGGAAATTAAATTTATCTATGAACAATCTGCACGGATTTTGTTAAATATAGATTTTACAGAATTATGTTGAGGATCTTTCGCTTTATTTTGATCTATGATATACAGGATTTAATCAAATTTCTATTCTTTTTATTTGTTATACAATCCGTATTGCGCATAATTTTCTTTAGAAGTAAAGAAAGGATTTCATATTCACGATAATTCTTATCTTTTTTCTTGTATATTATGCAGTATTCTCTTACAAGAATCATGCGTGAGCGTGTTGACACGCAATGTGTTGTTGCCACGTAGGTGGATAAAACACGTCAGTCGGTTAGCATTCAAGGTCCACTGGACAATCGCCTCGACAAAAGCATAAGAGAGCTAGAAACGGCTAAAGCATCTTCTTATTTGAATTAATTTTTGAGAATATGTATAGTAAAATTTTTTTAAATTGCACGCGATTTTTTAAATTATATTTCTAATTTATAACATATAAATGGCGATTGTGTATCATATGCATTGTTAAATTTATAATATCAAATTATACCCAATTTAAATTACTTTTAGTCATTCCTTTAAGAACTTCTATTTTATTATTACAATACATTTTTATACAGTACTTCTTTAAAAGCTATATTAAAAAATTCTTCGGTGATTCGATGAGTCACATGATTCTACATAAAATCTGGTTAAAATCTAAATGAAATGCGTGGCTCGCGAGAAAGTTTGATTCATTGCGCCGCGTTTAACCCCGAGGATTATTAAATCACAGCCATTTTGCCTCACGCACGCTGGACATGCCCCTTTTCATCGCGTTAATCGGGCTAAATAAAGCGACGCGCATTATAAATAAATTACGACTATAATTTAACTTCTTTACGATCTGAGCAGTGCTTAATTCCTCCCTTGGGGCCGATGATACCATTCCGATGTGTTGTATCCCGACGGTCACTGGAATTGTTTCGTGGACTATTAAAGAAATTAATGTAGGAATTATAAGACTGGCTTCCCGGGGCACACATCGCAGGCTCCGAAAGTGATAGGGAGTCGTGATTTATTTAATAAGCGGAGATTAAGTGCGGTCTCTCTCTGTCTCGTCGCGCTTTCGGGTCCTCTTGTCTTTTTGCTTCCGAGATCGGTTTACGGTCGAACGTGGCGCGACGACGATGTCAACGACGCGATACGACGACGTTGATGAATAAAAGTTCGAAGCGCAGACCCCCGCGGCCAATCGTTTAATCTCAATAACTCACAATGACGCCTGGACCCGACAAGGCTATCGGACATCGCTTTCCCCGATCTGCCTGCTCCTTTTTCCCCTTAATGTCATGTAAAGATCATTTGCAAGTTGATCGGTATCGTGAGTCGCCGTAAAGTGTCGCCAGGATCTTTGACGAAAGCCGTCGTGTATAATTAGAAGTTTTTCCGGTGGTACCCGCGGGGCTCGATTTGAGTTAACGAGGAAGTTTAGTTCGAGCGCCGGGCGTCAATCAGGACACGGAAGAAGAGGGCCGTTTCGCGATAATGAAAGGGTGAGCGCCGCTGAGAAAATCGTCACACTTGTTTACGCGAAATCGTCGTATGAGATTGATGGCGTGTTCCGTGCGATCTAATAATGTCTCCAGCAGCCGTATATGTATATCTCAAGTCATATGACTTGAGATATTTCAGAGATCATATAATAGCATGATCAATCAAAAAATCAGTCCTAAATCGCGTGGGCCTAATTACTTAAATAATTAATTACTTAGATACTTTTTTAAGTTGCTGATTATTACGATATGTCAAATATAAAAATAAAACATTGAAAAAATATCCTCTAAAACATTTAGTGAATCTCACTCTTTTTCAAAACTGATTCAATTTTCACTCTTTAGAGTGAGATTCCGCTCCTAAGAATTTAGAGAGTATACTCGAACGTTATATTCGTGTCAGCTGCATTTAGAACCGAAATGCGCGGACGCTATTACTTTGCTACTGCGCATCTTTAGGAAAACAACATCTTGTCTAATCCAATCATATCTCGAACGTTCTATCTAAAACGAAAATGAACTTGACAAATTTAAATAGGACTTTTCCTCGTGAATTTAATCGTTATTACTTGATATATACTTAGCTATCAACTGAGGGTTCGAGTAAGGATTGATTCTCGAATTTCTGAAGTGGAATCTAATCGCAAAAATTTTACTCAATAAACGCAGTCAACGCAGGGAGAAGTAATGGTTAAGATCGATGTACTGTTAACTCGTGCGCACCATCTTAAGAGATAAGTTGCCCACCCCTCTTCTTTCTCCGCCAATCTTGTCGTTCGCTTGACCGATCGCGACTACACGGCGCCGTGTTAATCACGATGCCGGTCGTTCATTGGATATCGATTTTCTAGATTCGACGAGTCGCCTTTACCGTGCACGGAACGGCGTTTTATGATGCGATGCAGCAATGAGAATCTATCCTGTTTGACTCGTGCATGAATTTTGCTTGTGGGAGGAATCGCGATACCTCCGAGCACACGTGCGCGCATTTTCAGAGCGCTATCAACCTCTTCCTGGTACGTAATTTTCGTAGAAGTCGCTCTCGATTAAGTTGCAATCCTCCTTTTATCATAACGATAAAAGGCGAGATAGCGTATTTCTGGTGATAACGTACATCGTTATTGCACTCCGGTAGTTCCAGATTGCAACCTCGTGTGAATGGAATCTCGTATAGATATGCTAAATATCTACGGACGATAATAAACGAACAACATATCTGTTTTCTCTAATGTTAACATGAATAAATTTCAAATGCGTTAGATTTCCGTCTCGATCGGGAAACATTAAACACGTTTTTATTGGAATTTTAATTTTTCGCGAAGATATCGTTAATTTGCCATCGTCCGTAACGTCGCGATACCGAATACCATAATTACCAGCGTGGCTTGGCGAAGCTGCACCTGGTCGCCCACGTCCGCGTTTGTGTATGGTTTCGCGTCTCACTTGACGCCTGTTCTCGGTGCGGCAGCAGGACGCGGTGCGACGGACGTGGCGTTTTCTCCGCGCCGCGGGTCCTGAGACCCGATTCAGGCTCCGAGCGAGTCGTCTCTCTTTCTCTCGGGGGGTCAGCATAATACGGTGCCGGCCCACGCGTCCTGCCAACACAGGCACGCCCAGTCACATAACTGCCCAGGTGTGCCTGATTTCGAGGACTTCTCTTGTGCCCTCTTCTCCTACAACCCCCCGCGAAATATAGACAAGTTGAAATTTATTGGCGAAAATTTATCTTCTGAAATATACGGAACGAGTGATTTTGGAACTTTGAAATTCCCTTCCGCAACTTTTTATACAGATAGATGTGCTTTAATCGTCTTTTCGATATAAATAATATAGTTATTTAAGAGGATCCTAAAGCCGTCTGTATTACCGATTAAATCATATAATTTTTGTATAACAAATACTTTTTTTCTCTTTCACGGATTCGAAAATCCTTCCAAGATTAAAGTATACGCATTAATACGTGTTTGTGAGGTGCAGGTTGTGCCGAGAGAACGACCAAAAATTTCGAAATTGATATATTTTTTACTATTTCTTAGTGTAACATGGCGTCTCAAGCTGTCAAGTCGTGACAACATTTGCTTGATACGAAAGTTTTGCAACCTGTACCTACAAAATTCACAAACACGTAGTTTGCACGAACAAATAACGTCGAGTTCTTAGAATTAGACAGACGCTTTATCGCGACGAATTTGTTATACGAAAATTGACACGAACGTGCTACTGCGTGTATCATAGGTTGCGTGAGATATTGGTATGATAGTATATAAAGACATGTCGATCGCTGGAAAAACAGCGACATTTAATGACTTTGTCGGAGTTTGAGCTTCGCTTTAGGATCCCCTTAATTACAATTTTATCAATTTTCTAAATAATCTTTTCTAAAGAAACTGCACTAGGAAAAAATTTAGTCTTCAGCTGTTTAGTTGAGGAATTTTTTAACAACAACCAAATATTTTATTTAATATAACAAAAAATTAATTGTTTTTGCGAAATACATTTTTTGTTTTGTAAATGACAAAAATATTAGTTTATACTGGATAATTTAGTTCACATAAAATTACAATTTTATTTGGTTTATTAAATTAAACAAAAAATTTTTATTAAGTATATTTCAAATTTTTTTGTTACAGCAAAAATTTGTATAGAACAAAATATTTTTCAAGTGTAATTCATGAATCAAAGTGTTTTATGAGAAATTACACAATTTATTTAATTTAATTTTATATTATATACAATAATAAGTATATATTATAATTTTTAACGGCAAGTTATTTAAAAACTGATATTTAAACACGATATTGCATCTTGAGAAATTGCACGTAATTTTACTTTACGTTATATAAAATATATACGCACAAAACTTATTGCAAGTTTTCGAAATGAACTTAGGATGACGTCAGTAGAAATCAGATGCCGTAAATGAGCAGCGAAAACATAACAAGCAGCATCATATCGATATGAAATGCATCAAATCTCGCGCGTTATAATTCGAACGATTCAACGTCTATTTGTTCGAGTGTTCGGCGTGTGCGGTGTC